TTAAATATTTTTAAGTAATTAAAAAAAATATCATAAGAAACAGATAATGAAAAATTTTTTTAGAGTTATATTTTAAGTACAATCATTTAAATATTATTTTATTTAATATTAAAAAATTTTGTATTCTTTTATATTTTTTATACTTTATTTATTAGCGTTTCTATACATTTATTCTTACATAAAATACTAGATAGTATCCTTGCATTTATATTAACCATTAATTTTTAAATAATTAAAAATTACAAGTATTTAAGTTCATTAAAAATAGTAAAAAAGTATAATTTTTTTATTTTGTAAGAATGGTTTTTATTTAAAAATATCAACTAGTTAATTGATAAAAACAATAGTTTTAACAGAATTTTTATAAAAAAACTTTCTATAAAATTATATTTTAAACAATTACAATTAGTTTTTTAGTTTTTTATTTTAAAATATATTAATGTTAAAAATTAAAACTTTTATAATATTAATATGAAAAAATCCTATAAATTGAATTTATTTATTTTTTATTAAAGAATATTATTAAATTTTATTTCTAAAATATGTTTATAAAGAATCAAAAAAAATATACTATTTTAAATTTCAAAAGTTTTATTTATATAATTAACATTTTTTATAAAAAAAGATTAGAACCTTCAAAAACAAATTTAAATAAAAAATACTTAAATATTTTAAGAGATAATATCATAAAAAATTTTGTCTTTTATATTTAATTAATTTAATATTTAACTGATAAAAATTCCTCTAAAATCAAAAAGATTTGAGCAATTTTTAATGGTTCGAATTCCTTTAAAAAATTACCTCTTCATTTTATAAATTAAAATTAATTTTATTTACACAAATCAGTTTTTTTAATATTTTCTAGTCTAAAAAATTTTATTGTTAAACTTAAAACATCTTTTAAAAGTTTAGAAAAAAAATTTAAGAAAAATTTACTTAAAATCTATCAATAATTATTTTATTATCAATAATTTTAAATACAAAAAACCTTTGTTTTAAATATTTTAAATTATTGAAAATAAAATAATTATTGATAGTTTTTTAAAATTTAATTTAAAGAACTGTTTGCTTTAATATTTTAGAAAAAAATTAATTATTACGGAAAAGTGTAGTGATTTCAAAAAAATAGAATACTCTTTTTAAAGTTCGATTAAAAAAAACATTTTATAAGAATTTAAAAATATTTGAATTAAATATATTTTAATACAAACTAGTAACCTGAATATTTAATAATGGTCTAAATAAACCATATTTAATTTTTTTAATTTAATTTCTTTAAACTACAAATATTTTTAATTTTACAGTTTAATTATTTTATTATAAAAATGTTTAGTAAAAATTATGCGCAAGATTAATGAATATGCCACATTATTTTATTCAGTTCGATTCTGATGAAAGATTTTTTATTAAAACTGATGATTTTAAATTATTTTATTTAAAACTTGCAATTGATTTATAAAAATTGAGTTTCAAGCAACAAACTTTTTAGTTTAAATTTTAAAAAATAAACTGTAAATATGATTATTTAACTAAAAAACTTTTTATATTTAGAATAGAAAAATCATTTGAATATTTAATAAATTCTGCGTGGTTTTTAGGGTTTCTATTTTGAATAAAGAAAGATTTTTGGATTTAAAATTAAAGAAAGTTTTTAATATAATGTTTTTTAATTATTAGATAACCATCTATCTATTTATTTTTTACAAGTTATTAAAAAAACTTATAAATTTATATTGATCATTATATGATTTAGTTTAATATTAAATCAATTTTTTATACTTATCTTTAAATTTTGAATATTTAACATTTACTTTTAGAATAATTTAATTAAGATTAGACTATAAAAATGTTTTTAACTTAAAATTTAATAATAATTAGTGATTTTTTCTAAAAATATATTAATATTTATTTTTTAGAAAAAATTCTATTTTAAAATACATAAATTTTTGATTTAATTATAAACCGGTGATATATTTTGAATTTAGAAAATTCTCTAGCTCATTTTTAATAAAACTATCATAAATAATGAAAATTAAAACTGTTTTATGTTTTATTAAAACAAACTCTTATTTTTATAATTTTCTTTTATAATTATTTTTAATAATTGTAAATTTTTGTTTAAATATTTTTTAATTTTATTTAACAGTAAAGTTTAAAGCGTAATTTCAAGTGAAAATTGTTCTTAAATTTTTGAATGTTCGATTTTTTTTTAATTTTTTGAAATATTTATTTTATAAGAATTATAATAGTATTTCTGTTTAAAAACAAATTGTATATTTAATAACAATCTTCTAAAAGACTTTTCTATTTAATTTTTAAAATAAAATTGTTAAAATATATTTTAAAAACAGCTTAAATATTTTATTATAATTTTATATAATCCTCTAATTACCTAACAGTTAATTAAAACTGGAATTGGTTTTTTAAATTCGATTTTTAAAAAAGTTTTTTTCAAAACTATTTAAATTTGAAAAAAAGACTAATTTAACTGAAATCTTATAATTAAATGAGAATAGTTTTATAAAAAGATTTTTTATTTTTAAATATTCAAATATTTAAATATTTAAAAACAACTTAATTATTTTTTATATCCTGTGAATTGAGCCTTAGAGTATATAAAAACTGAGGCTGATTTTTGTAAGATCTATTTTAATATAAGTTATTTTATAATATTTAGTTTTAAACATTCAATTCTTTTAATTAATTAAAAAAACTTAAATATTTTATTATATTTTTATACAACTTGATAATTATGTTGCAGTTAATAATAACAGTGATTTATTATTGAAGGTTCGATTCTGATATAAGTCATTTTTTAAACTTTTTAAAGTTTATATAATATGACTTATTATATCAAATTTAAAAAAGTTAAATGTATTAGAAAAACCATATTTATTTTTTAATAATAATATAATTAAACAACTTAATTGTTTTATAATATTTTTATATAATGATATAATCGCTATCAGTTTATTGGTTTTTACAGGTTCGATTCTGATATAAGTCGTTTTTTAACTTTTTAAAGTTTAAAAAAATATAAGTTATTTCATAAAAATCTTATAATAAAACAATAACTGTATTAGAAAAGCCATTTTTATTTTTAAATATTCAAATCTTTTAATATTAAAAAATAACTTAAATATTTTATTATATATATTTATACAATGAGAATTTAGTCACAGTTAATAAAAACTTAATTTATTATTGCAGGTTCGATTCTGATATAAACCACTTTTTAAAATTCAAAGTTTAAAATAAAAGTTATTTCATAAAAATCTCATAACAAAATTAGAAAAACTATTTTTATTTTTAAATATTCAATTCTTTAAATA